AAGCAGACAATTCCCAGATCTACACATCCAGCCCCAGTATTTTAATATTATCATTTGCCTATTGAACATTTCAAAATTGATGTCACAGGCACATCTTAAACTCAACAAGCCTAAAACTGAACATGCTATCTTTTCCCTGAACCCTCTCCTCTTCCAAACTTCTCTATTTCTACCAATTTGATAACTGCCATCCTATCAATGTTTCAAGATTAATAATCTCAGCATTATCCTTGATATCTTATTCTCCCTCATCCCACATATGCAGCTCCCAGATCTTGATGTTTTTGCCTTCACAACATCTCTCACATCTGGCCACTTTTCTCCACTCATACTACTATACCTTTGTTCAGGCCCTCATTACTTTTTGCCTGGATTATTGTAACAGCTCTTTCCTAGTTGGTCTCCCTGACTCGTATCTCTCCCCACTCCAGTATATGCCAAAGTAATTCTCCTCAAGTAGAGATGACCATGTGACTCCCTTATAAACCAATTCCAGTGATATACTACCGCCTCCAGGATAAAATAAAATATCCTCTGTTTAGCTTTTAAAGCCTTCCATAACCTGGCCCTGATCTACATTTCTAGCTTTGTTGGACATTACTGTCCCTCCGGTACCCTGCAACCCCAGACAAAATGGGACTCTGTCCCTCACATGTGACACTCCATTTCCTTTACTATGCTTTTGGATTGGCTGTCCCATACCTGTAATGCACTCTTTCCTTACTTCTTCCTCATATAGTCCCTTACTTCCTTTAAGATGCATTTCAGGCACCATCTTTTGAATGAAGCTTTTCCTGGCTCCCACGTCCTCCCAAACTGCTAGCACCCTCCTACCTAAAGTACCTTGGATTTTATTTTATGATGACTCCTCCTCTTCTTCCTCCTCCTCTCTCTGTCTCTATTTGTTAGCTTTATATTTAGGCTGCATATATTTTCATATGTACTTGTCTCACTCATTAAAATGAAAGCTCAGATCATTTTGAATAGGGATAATTTCCTTCTTTGTACTTATGTAGCCAGCACTTAGCACAGTGCTGGTCACACATTAAAGGTCTTAATAATTCTTGACTGATTTTCTCATAACTCCTAGCACAGTGTATTGCATATTGTGGGTGCACTCAAGAAGTACTTATGGTTGATTACTCCCTCACTTGACATTATTACATTCTACTCTATCTAGGATGACTATTTTCAGGTATTCTAATATTGCACAAACAAAGTAGTATGGGAAAATATAAACAAATATCACTAAGTTTGATCAGATTTATCTTGAACTGACCAGTGATATTCAGCCAAAACATCTAAATTAGTTTCCAGGTATTTTGGGCTGTTTCATTAACTTATCATCTACCAGCTTGTGACTTAGTATCCAATTTTAGTCATTATATATATGTATATATATGTATGTATGTATGTATGTATACACACATAGTATATCTATCTGTCTATCTATCTATAGTGTGTATCTATATCTATATTTTTTTACTATGCTTTTTGGAATTGGTCTTAAACCATTCCCTTAGCAAGAAGTGATAATGGTCACATGTTTTTCCATAGGTTCAACCAGCACATCAAATGTGGTCACTGCCACTACTATTGCAAATTACTGTAAATTCTCATTTGATTTTAAATACACTCTACAGTAGTTTACTCCAGATGTCGTGACTCTATGCCTTTCAAAGGAATTCATGTAGGATGTAAAGTTTATATTTTCTGAGAGATTTCCCGGGTGGGGTCCTAAACAAAGTACATTCTAATTTAGACCTGATAGTTAAAAAAGGAAGGGGTTCTTACATGCACACACACACATATTCATGCATGGGGCTGGCCTTAGACAAAGATCGGATGGGGGCTGCTTAAAGAATGAGAAGATTCCTCATCACACTGGTCTGTCAATGATGCCTAAGCTGTCATATTCAAGCTATATTACCTTGGGGATTGTCTCCTACTAAAATTAAAAAAATGTGTGTGTGTGTGTGTCTGTGTGTCTGTGTGTATGTATGCATACATGCAAGTGCTCAGGTGCTAGTGGTCACACTATAGTAGTTGCAGGTACATAGAACCATAAGATATAGTAGTGCAGGTACATAGAATCATAAAAATCAAAACCACAACATCTGAAGCAGCATTAGGTTCACTGCTCAACATCTGATATGCCTCTTGGGCAGCTGGCTAAGATGGTTACCAGAGGGGTCTGTTACACTCTAGTGGGGTTTGATTACAATGTGTCAACGATGTTACTGGGAAATAACATTGTTTAGGGCAGTGTTATTGGGGGGATGCCAATACACATGTGCAGCATGTACAAATGCATCGGTTTGTATATATAGACAGAAAAAAACTTCAGTAAACTATTAAGAGTAAGGAGATAGAAGGATCAAGACATGATAAAGTGAAAAGGGGAAAATTGAAGATAGAGGGTTAGGAAAAATAAGATGGAGAAAAAGTCAGCAAAATAAACATGAAAAGAAAAAATGGGAAAGGAATGAAAAATGAGCAGAAAGGCAAGGAAATAGAAAAGGACTAAATACTGTATTTAGTCACTGATTCATTTCCTATGCCTGAAGCCAACTTGGCTCTTGAGGAGTATCATAGGTCCCAAATCCATTTGCTGCTAGTGTTTGTAAAAAGTCCTCTGTCCCCAGCCTTCTGCCCAAATGCTAGCTGGAAAGGTGAGGGTTAAAACAGGAAATGGTTATATAAACAGTATGCTGAGTTGAGAGGTTCTCTTCAATAAGCAAAATTCACTTCTGAAACATGCTCACCTGGGAAACCTGAGCATTGGTGTTTTTAAATCTCAATCAAATAACCTTCTAAAGTGTTTGGACTATAACAAGGCATTTAATCCCAAAATGGCAGCTGGGAGATGTTAACACTTCTTTTCTAATTGGGATAGCATGGTTTTTAAAATAAATAGGTATTTCAACATGCTCTTAATTAGACTTCCAACCAAAGTGCTTTCTGTTTGAAGTTTCCTGATTACTTCATGCAAATCTGGGCCTTCCTGAACTTGACACCTGCTATAATTTAGAAGGAGGAAGCTCGAACCATGATAAATAGACAAATAAGGAGCCCCAGTTTACCATATAAAGGATAGGAGGCAATATGGACCTATTTCAGAATGGTACATTAATGAAGCAATGGGAGTCTGGAAAATATTTGTGTGGCCTGGAGCCTGTGATTGGAAACATGCAGCAATTTTCCAAAGGCCCAGGTCTGCTCCAGGCAGGGGAGAAAACTGCCTGAGCTGTTCCAGTCCCTCTGCTGGATTGGCCTGGCCTCCCAGGGGGATGGGGAGTTGGAAAGAAAGGAAGGATGGAGCTCCTTACTCCCCTGGAACCCATGGAAAAGGCTTACCTTGTCGTAAATGCATACCACTTATAGTTATTTCAAATGGTATTTTCCACATCGTTGTTTTTCTACAACAAGGGCTCATTAAATGCCTGCGAGAGAAGGCCAGATGTTACATGAAGATGGACCTTGCCCTTGGAACTGTCATAATGGAGCTGTTGTAGCTGATCTTAGGGAATTCCTGCATATCTGATGCCCAGCACTTAGAGCTTGGGGACAGGAAGGGAGCTCATTACAGAGTCACTGTTCACCTTAGCTTGCTTTGAACCTTTCTTAAGCCCAACATTTTGAGATCAGTTTACCTCTATCAAAGAACTCACTTTTTGCTAGGAAAGCAATTAGCTGAATCTATGTTCAGAACTAAGAAACTCATTGGTCTGTATTACAATTACAAGTCTAGGACAGTAGCTCCCTCTCAGGAGATGGTCAAGAGGCTGACACCCCATTTCTTTCTAAAGCATATCAGAACTAACAGTGTGACCCCTAGAGCTCTGGCCAGAATGTATCAGGCTTTCTGTGGTTCACATTGTGTTCTAGCCATTACTATCTTAACTGACAATTACTGAGGATTATTATCGGTTTTAACAAAAGAAAATAACAGAAGCTCCTAACAGTGCTACTAGTTGCTAGTTTCAAGGAAATCATTCCCTGTACAGTTTGGACCCTTTTACCCTTTTGGAATTGAGTCCTTCAATGTTTTGCAGTTACAGGAAGTAGTCCTGGGAAGAGAAATGTAAACTAGCATCCTTTAACCAGGAGATACCAATTTCTCAATTGATCGTAACTCTTCGAATGGTTTACCATTTGGTGGTATGGCTTGGCCAAGATGAGGAGCAGGAGGGGTAGCTAGGCGGCTCGGTGGATAGAGCACCGGCCCTAGATTCAGGAGGACCTGAGTTCAAATCTGTTCTCAGACACATAACACTTAACTAGCTGTGTGACCCTGGGCAAATCACTTAACCTCATTGCCTAGCCAAAAAAAAAAAAAAAAGAGGAGCAGAGGGTATGATTTGAAGGGCTTCATTATTTGTCCCCAAATATCTTTCCCACCAGCTCGCCAAGATACTTCCCATCCCTCCTCTGTGACTTGGTAAAACAAAAAATATGAATATATTATTTCCAGAAGGCCATTGCCAAAATGCACATGGGGTGGCTAAAGTTTTCTTTTCCTCATTTACACATTGCATGCACCAAAAGTAGAGTAGTTATCAACTAGCTATCTGTAACTTTGGAAATCAGAGAACAGAGTATAAAGTACTGCAGGAAACAATGAATGTGTGTGTGTGTTTTTAAAATCTATGATGGGTAAAAAATATCTGTAACATGAAATGATGCTGCTTAAGAAGGGGAAAATCAGAGTGAGTCATACTGTACTGGAGGAACCTGAGCCAAGCATTGGATACCTGGTGAGAGTTGGTATCTGTAAAAAGGGTATGGCACAGAAAACAGACCTTGCCTCTTTCACAATTTTGCCTACACCTGGCTCTGCCAGTAGCCAAGTAAAAGGGACTTTATCCATTTATTCTTTATTTTATGGAATTTCTTTTAAACATATGACCCTATAATCAGGCCAGATGATATCATTCTGTATTAACCCCCCACCTCTCCCCCCCCAACCCCCCACACAACAGACACATCCTCGTACTCACTTAAAGCAACTCGCTGCATCTGCCGTTGATTTATTTCTTCTTTTAGATGGCCTGTCAAAGAAACAAGTGGCAAAGCTATTAGTGTATAACCTAAGTTCTGGAAAGATGCATCAGGCTGAGAAGCCTTTGACCTTCCAAAAAAGATGTCAGGTGGAGAAAAAGGGAAGAGTTACGTTTCTCAGTCCAAGAGGGAGCTTACAAACTGGCAGTGGAAGTGACAACAAAGCCAGAGGGTCACTATAAATACGTTTTACACTCATTGGATTCAATCGCATCAGTCAGCCCTTTACAAATGCCTCAGCTGGAGCCTGTGTCTATATTCGTGATATACTTCCAAGATGTCATCACTGTGCATTATTATTGAGGGAGGAATAGGATGTGGTCTTTTGTTCATCCTTGGGGTGAGAGAACTGAGACCCAGATCAAATTCCACCTTCTCCATGAAACCACCTCACTTGCTGTCAAGGAAAAAAGACCTGGGGGCTTGAGTTGTCCACAAGCTCAGTGTGAGATCACAGATATGGCTGTTACAAAAGCCATGACACAATTGTAGACTACATTAATAGAAGTATGGTGTTTGGAGGGATCAAGGGAGGTTATAGACCTACCATACTCTGAAGTATTCAGAACACATCTGTAGCACTATGTCCAGATCTAGATTGGATCTCCCTCCCAAGAGAAAGACTGGCAAACTAGAATGTTTTCAGGGAAGGGCCACCAGGAGAGTAAGGGAATGAAATACAACATTATATGTGGAACAATAAGAAACTTGGGAAATTGAGCCCAGAGAAGACTTAAGGAGGACACATTATCTCTCCTAAAATATCTGAAGGGTTTTTATGTGGGAAAGAGATTAGATTTTCTGTGTTGCTATGGAAAGTAGGACCAGAGATAATGTTTGGAAGATGCAAAGAGGCAGAGTTTGAGTCACTGTGAGGAAGAACTTCCTAACAATTAAAACTGTCTAACTTTGTGGATTACTTTAAAAGTAATGAGGTCTTTGTTGCTACAAATGTGCAAGCAGAGGCAGTATGACCTTCTAAGAGGGATGCTACTCAAATGGATCTGTCAACTCACTGATTCAAGAGTTCTCTTCCATGGTGCATGACTGCCATATTCTCTGATTCTTGTCTGAGTCCTTCCATAAGTTCATCACAGAGGGCCCGCCCAACATGATAGAGACCCAAGATTTCTCCAGACATCGTAAAGTCACCAATGAAGCACTCTGGCTTTGTGTCTATCATGCCTCATTTTTGTCACATGACCAGTCCATCTTTCTGTTATACAATTCCATGATGGTTTCTCTTACTCTTGTTCTTCAGAGTTCTTCACACCCACCACATGCGTCTCCACTGCCCTCTGTATGACACTCATGTTTAATTCTTAGGAACTACAGAATTCTGTGTTTCACTGTGATATAGCACCATCAATAGAATGTTAGTAGTAAAATATGGGCCTTTGCTTTCATGGGAAGCCTGAAGTACATACAGAAATGTACTTTTCTGAATGCAATCTAGGCCCCTTCCCTCTTGCTCAACTCATTGTCCATCTGCATCGTTTATCCTAGATATTCATCCTATTGGATAAGTTCCAAATGGTGTCTATCCAAACACATGTTGAAATCTAGATGATAGTCTTCATCCACTTGGTGTTTCCTATAGGCTTAGCAATATTTTGGGGCTTGATGCTGTCGGTTCAATGTCATCCATAAGGAGGAGGCATCTGGAAGGCCTCACCATCTGTAGGGAATTTCTCCACAATATGGATTCTGCACTGGAATTCCTTCAACAGCACAACAAACACCTTTGGCGAGCACACATCTCTCCATTTTATGCTTCACTGGATGTTTAGTATCAAGGGGTTGTCAAATAGGATTATTTCTTCTGCTATATCTTCCAAGAAATCTTAAGTCAGAGAGGTTATAGAAGGAATTTTTGCATTAGGTGGAAGGTTGGGCTAGATGACCTCTATGGTCCCCTTTCACACTAAAATTCCATGATCGTGTGCTTGGAAATGAGGTAAATCACTAAGATTGAGGGTTTCTTTATGTCTAAGAGATTGATTTAGCAAATATACTAGTTGTTAAAATGTCAATGCAATCTGCTTCTGATATTCCACTAGCAGGAAGTGACCAGGGTAGTGTTCCAGGAAATGATGGTACATTTACTGCTCCTTAGTCTAGCATAAATCTCTCCTAACACTTTATACATTCAAAAAAGTCTATAGCTGAACAATATATAACACACTACTAGGATATGGAATAACCATGGGAGATGATACAGAACATTCTGTAACACTCAGAATCACTGAGTTTGAGTTGGAAGGGATACATATATATGTATATATAATGTGTGTGTATAATATACATGTATGTATTTCTCTCTCTGTATATATATCTATACACACACACATATACACATACACATATACACACACACAAGGTGTTTTTAGTCCAACCTGTCCAATTTAAGAACCCAGCCTATAGCATCCCTGATAGAATTCAGTCGCTGCTTGAAAATATTTAGTGACAGATGTTTATTGTATTATAAAAAGGGTCATTTTATTATAGAACAGCTTTGTTAGAAAGTTCTTCCTAATACTGAGCCAAATTCTGACTTCCTGTAATTTTTCTCCTACTGTTCCTCATTCTATTCTCTGGAGCCAATTAAGATAACTCTTACCTCTCTTTCATATGTCAGTCTTTCAAATATTTCATGACATTTATCACCTCCACTCTCCTTGCCCCCAACCAAATCTTCTCCTGTCTCCTTCCTCATTCCTTCTATTATTCTTAGCACCACCCTGGCTGCTTTTGTCTGCATCTACACTAGAGGTTCTTATGGGTGTCTTACCAAAATAGATTCATTATCCATTATTTAGGATCTACGGCAAGTAATGAGAAAAGGGTGTGTAACAGTAAGCAATATTGTACAATGATCAACCATGAATGACTTAGCTATTCTCAGGAATGCAATGATCCAATGCAATCTGAAAGGATTCGTAATGAGAAATGCTATCTACCTCCAGAGAAAGAAATGATGGAGTCTGAATGCAGATCAAAGCATACTATTTTTAACTTTTTTTGTTTTTTGTTTTTTTCTTTTTTGGTCAGTGTCTTCTTTCACAACACGACTAATATAGAAGTATGTTTTACATGTTTGCTCATGTACAACCTATATTAAATTGCTCACCATCTCAGGGAAGAGAAAAGAAAAGGACAGAGAAAGAGAATTTGGAACTCAAAATTTTGAAAAATGAATGTTAAAATTTGTCTTCATGTGTAATTAGGAAAAAATTGTAAAAAGTTTTTTTTAAATAAGAAAAGGGTGTGTAAGATGCATTTCTTGGGTATGAAAACTGATTCCAAATAATAGGAGATAATTTGTTCATATGCTGGATGGGGAGGAGTTGGGGGGGAGGAGAGAGGGTGAATAGAAGAGAGCATCCTAGGCTCTCAGAAACACAGAATCTCACCCCTCTGACAGTGTTCTCTATAGCTCAATACAGAATAGGGCCAAGGATGAGTGGGTCTAAGTTTGCCAACCACGAAGAAGGCAAACTCAAAACCTGAGCCAGCCCAGTCAAAATTGATTTTTTCCTTCTCATTTGGTAATGCTCATTAGCATAAATTGACTTTTAATGGTTAATTATTTCTTCATGTATCAATGTTTTATCCCACCTAATAGCTGCAAAGTTCTCTGAGAGTATGTTAATTTTTTTTTTTTCATACAGTCCCCAGAATAGTCCTTTGCACACAGCAGGTGCATTTACTGGGCCATGAACTTCTTCAGTTCCCACAGAGAACTCCCAAGTCTCCTTTCTCCTAGAGTCTCTGGAGATTTCCTTGAATAGGGTTCCCACAAGGCTGATGGCCAACTAAGTCTGGGGCAGGATTAAGGGAATTTTGCAGCCGTAGGCCAGTGAAGAACCAGTCATGTAAATAAATAGGGGAATTTAGCCATTGGGAATGCCAGTTCTATAAACTCCACAAACATAAATGTTTACTCTCAGAACAATGAGGCATTCCTTGAACAAAGCTGGGTTTTTGTAATGTGACATGTGGACAAGATAGTTTTAGAATGTAGTTAAGCAAAGCAGGATTTTGAGACTTGGCTAGCCTCTCCCGCCACATGGCTAATTCTCCTTTCTGAAATCTCACCAAACAAGTGTCTAAAAATAGCTCCATGGCTGGTACCAAATTGTTTTTTTCCAGTGGAGTCATTCTTCATGTGCAGATAACAGTTTCAATAGTATGTTGGATCCTGCAACTCTACAGGTTTTGGCAAAAAAAAAGGAGTTGAGGGGGATTTCAGAATTCACTCAGCATGCAGCTTGCTGTCATTATCCTGGTGATAAATTTGCTGGTTTTGGCTGCAGTTTCTGGCTACAGTCACATCCAGAGGTATGGAAAAGAGATGAAACAGTAATAGAGAACTCCCAGCCTGAGGCAAGAAGCTGTCTGGGAGAGAAGCAGGACAAATCAAGGATGAAAAGGAAGAGGATGAAGGAGAGGGAGAAAGGCCGGAGTGGCTCTTATGTGAGAATGTTGGTAATTACTCCTTATAACAGCACATGGGAAAAATCTTCTTTTCCTGCTTCCTGATCATTAATTAGCTGATGTTGAAGGAAGGAGGGAAAAGTGGTAGGGAATGGGCTGATACTACATGAAAATTTAGAAAGAAAATATCTCCCTAAAGAACCCCTGGGTGTGGTGGAGGAGTGGGGAACAGAAAGAGTTGAGGGGAGGGTGCTTTTGTGTAGAGAGGGAATATGAAAGAAGCAATATACTGCAAAGATATAAAATGTAGTGTGCCCTGTTACACAGTAAGTTACATCTAAGGCACTATTACTATGGAATAAAATCAGGCATGCCATATTTTTATATATAGCATTTTGGATACTATGGCTTTCCTTTAAATTTATTTTGCATCAATATTATTTTTTAATGGTGAACAATGCTGAGGCCAGCTCTCATGAGGTAGACGTCCACTTGGAACCTTTCTGAAAGGAGCTATTCTGGGGCAGAGGGTGGGAAGTTTGCATGCTGATTA